TCTCGGTAAGCGTTATATTCAATATGATTTCTGGCAAAGCTGTTCAAGTAAAACGTTTCTATAAACAAGTCTCCGGAAGTCCAACAGTTAAATTAGTTACAAATATAGAAGAAACATATTATCGTTAAGATGTTAACGTATTAAAATATTTACTTGTTAAAGTAAACATTATAATTATGAAATGTACATTCATTTGAAATGTACGCTCATTTGAAATGTACACTCATTCAACCTCACGCAACCGACACAAAATTCAGTTATCTGCTAGCAGATAACTCAGTTATCTGCTAGCAGATAACTGAATTTTGTGTCGGTTGCGTGATTGCGCGATTTAACTGTAAGCTCTTAGCCAATCAAATTGCTTTTACCAACTACAATGTATTATAATGTCATTTATGTAATTGCTCATCAGTTCTTCCATTGCATCTTATAATTTGCTGTGGAAACTTGTAAAACGCTTTACGTCCTTTATATCTAAATCAATCCTGGTTTCAATTTGGACTCGGTTGTTGCGAGCACGTCATAGTTGCTTGGATCTATTGTGTGTTCTGTATGTTCAAATCAGTGTGCTGCTCATATCCGCGTATTTCTGTGTTAGTTCAAAAGCTTTTTTGCCGCATATAACGCATTACCTCGCTTCTATACTTTGGTATATATCACTTAAAATCACCTTTTCGGGCCGTTTGTTCAGTTTTATTACCAGTTAGCTTAATTCTTGGTTAACAGAATCTCTAAAGCAATCTTTCCAGCAGCTTGTTTATAAACGTAGAAATACTTTTCCAGAAATGTTCTCTGGATCAACGGGATTTTTATTTTCTGGAAGTTTTGAAATATAAACAGACATGCAGAAATACGCAAACCAAAAAGCAGGTTAAAATTTAACCCAATTTCTCCTTGTATTTTTCAGGTTGTTGCATCTTTATATTTTTCAGGTAGTTCCATCCCTACCTGCCAACAAAAATTGAACCCATGGCTAGCCCTAATCCATGCAGAATTGAACATCCGGCTCCTGGTGTTTAGTTTAACAAAAGGATATTGAAATACCTTATGACATCATCAATACCATTTGGTATTCCTTTCCAAAATTCCTTGATTTTCTTAGGATACCCCGAATCAACTTGAAGTTTGCTGTCATTAAATCTGTAATATTCTGATCCCTTGAAGAAATACGTAATACCATTTGCATAACGAAATACACCGTCGATATTGTTCGGAACACCTCGCCAGTGCTCGGTAATTGCTTGTGGATAGCCGGGATCAATACCACGTGATATTTCGTCGTAACGATAGTAACTTCCTCCAGCAAAGAAATAAATATAACCATCCGCCCAACGGAAAACTGAGTCGATCACACATGGTCCTGTGACGACAGAGGAAAAATCAAGATGAATTATATCGAAGTCGTCGTTTACATAAGACTTGCGAGACGACGAAGGTCGCCAAGTATCGCATCGCCGTTTCTTTGCCGGGGTGACTGAATACGTTATAACTGGGACAACAGACGTTATGTTCTCGACGCTTGGGGCAAGTAAGGCATTCGAATTAGTGCTATCAGAGCAAAGTTGGCTTGCTGCTATTATCATGGTTATAATTCAACAAACCTTATTTCTGCGCGAATTGTACTGATATATATATATATATATATATATATATATATATATATATATATATATATATATATATATATATATATATATATATATGTATATATATATATATACATATATATATGTATATGTATATGTATATGTATATGTATAATGTATAATGTATAATATATATATATATATATATATATATATAATATATATATATAATATATATATATATATATATATATATATAATATATATATATATATATATATATATATATATATATATATATATATATATATATATATATATATATAAAATAATATAAACAATAATAATAATAATATGTATTATAACAATTATAATATGTATTATAATAATATAATATAATATAATATAATATATAATAATAATAATAATATATAATAATATAATATATAATATATAATAATATATAATATAATATAATATATTATTGTAATATATATTATATTATTATAATAATAATATGTATTATAATAATAATAATATATAATATGTATGTAATATAATA